CGGAACTCAGCAGATAATCCTACTCTGCGGGCCTGCCTTCTACCTTAGTTGTACTAGTTTATTTAGGTTTTTTTTTTTGTTTTTGTTTTTTTTTTGGTGTGTGTGCAGGGTCTCACTACGCAGCTCGGACTCCTAGTGATCATCTTGATTTCTGCCTCCCTAGTGCTGGGATTACAGGTGTGCACCACCACGCCTGGACTCCATCCCCTGCTCAGCGCACCCAGGGGCGTGGCTGGCCTGGCATGTGGTGCCAGGGATCAAACCCTCGCCCCTTTGCTTATCTAAGCAAGTGCTTAGTCTGCTGAGCTATATCACTGGCCATCCTCCATTATTTTTGTATTTTTATATTGTATTTCTGATACTTCAATTATGATGTAGGATGAGGAGGTTCTTTTCTGGTCCTGGTTATTGGGGTTCTGTATACCTCACTTATTAGTATGTTTATTTCTCTTGTTTTATGCTGAGCTTATGGACACTTAGAATGTAAAGGCTTTGTGTTAGCATAGAGAGGTCTTTAGTTACTTTTCAGGGATGTACTTTAAGTATAGCTAACTATAGTTCTTTGCTTCTTCCCTAAGATCCAAGTGCCTTGGTTAATTTGGAAGGGTAGGATTCAGTTTCATGACCCAACACTTAAGTTCTCTGGGAATCTAGGGTAGTATTATTAGTATTATCCAAAGGTAATCTGGGTTTTGTTTTACAGAGAAAACCCATTAATAGTGACAATTATGTGACCCTGATAATATCAAGCAAATTATCTATAGTAGAATCACCCAAGAAAAATTGTATATTACCACAGCATATGAGCCAATTATGTACAACCTTTATCCTAAAGAAGAAAAACAGGTAAACATTAAGACAGTCCAGGGGCTCAGGAGGTAGTTCAGCAGCATAAGTACCTGCCTGGTAAGCGCAGGGTCCTGAGTAGGATCCCTAGTACAAAACAAAACAATACAAAACAGGTATTACTATAATAATCTCTGCTAACAGTAAAAATGAATTCATCAATAACTTTATAGAGTCAGCTAAATATTAACAAGGCTTTATTGTAATATCATGAAAGATGAAGATGGTTGGGAACTAGGGAATGCAAGAAGAAAAAATTTTAACAAGAAGTTGAAACCTTAAACTAGAAGATATGCAGAGAAGAGAGAAGTAGGATAAAAGATTTTATTGGTGAGTAAAAAGATGTTTGTAGAATTAGATGAAGTATCAGGAAAAAAAACTGATGAGAAATAGAAGAAAAAAGAAATTATATAGAAAATAAAAATAAGAGAAAAGTTAAAGGAAGAAAAATAAAGGGGATAGAGACGAAAAAGAAGAAGAAAAGGGGGGAGGAGCAAGAGAAAAGGACAAACCATTTTTCCCAAACTTCAGTAAACTAGTGAAATAAGAGAGACCTATATACAATTTTCTGTGATTTGTAAATCCATATTTTTTTCATAAATCCACAATTTTATGACAGTGTCCAAGTCAAAACATGTCCTTACTCATGCTGAGAGATAAAGAAAGCAGTGAGACTTTAGACCATTCTGGATGCAGACACCAGCAGGCAGTAGGTGTAGGATGAGCACTCCAGTGTAATCTTGCAAATCCAGAGCAACCCTGTCTGAGCCTGGCCTCTGACCATGGGAGTGGGGCCCCTGTCCTTTAACGCAGACTCTCAGGGGGTCTCTTTCCAGTCTGTTGTCTGACTGAGGCTGTCTCCCATGTCTGCCTCACATCAGTCACTGGGAGGGGAACACTGGGAGCCCTCAAATAAAGCTGCCCTGTGGCTTCTCCCAGTCCAAGTTCAAACACTCATTTCCTCCCTGGAATGACTGACCAACCACTCTCTCCAGGGATATGGCAGCACTTAGATTAGGATGAATCCTCAGCTGTTGCCTGTCAAAGGACTCCTAGGGGAGCAGAGTCCTGTTTTATCCCTACAAATCACAGCAACCAGCAGTCCATTCCAACATCTTATTTCTTTTGGGGGCCCCTGGAGCCCAAGCATTCACTTTGTCTCTGTAGCTTTGGTTTCCCTTTCCTGCAACCCAGAAGCCTGGGAAAAAGTTGTGACTATGTCTCAATTACTTTCTTCTCATTGCTGGTACAAAAATACCGGACACACAGAATTAAGGAAGGAAAGGTTTACTTAACTCACAGTTTGTGGAAGTTTCATTCCATACTTGGCTGGCTCCAAGGCAGAGTGGCACATGGTAGAGGGCAACAGTTCGTGGAGGTGGAAAACAGCAGAACATCAAGAGCAAGAAGGGGAGAACCAGCAGCTATAGAAGCAGAGAACAGGCCTCTCTTCCTTATATTGCATTCAGACTATCCATGGGTATAGAACTCAAATTAATAATCCCAGCAGCACTTACAACCATGGTCCCAGCATTGGATTATGAATTAGTTGCAAACTCTAGAAGCTGCCCCATGACTGCATGAAGCTTTGTGGGGACTCAAACCATAACAGACTGTTTCTTCCTTTCTCTGCATGTGTTGTCTCTCTTCAATTTCTCTATAGCTTTTAATCTTCCTCTTAGATCCTTCTTTGCTCCTGGGAATCTACTCTTTCTCTGTTTTATTTTTCTTTCTCAAGTTGCCGTTTTTCACCATGTAAATTCCAAATCTTGGAGAGGCTAGTTGTAACCACCTAGCAGTCCCCTATTTTTTCTGTCCACAACTCTTTCATCTGTTTTTTCTATGTTTTTTTTTTCTAGTTTAAAAAGTTCATGATACTTAAACTTTATTAAAAAAAATAAATGAATAGTTTTTTTTGTTTTGTTTTGTTTTTTTGTTTTTTGTTTTTTTTTTTTGGGGGAACCAGAGATTGAACTCAGGCCCTTACGCTTGCCAGGGAAGCGCTTATTCCACTGAGCCATCTCCCCGACCCCTGAATAGTTTCTTTTTTAAAGATAGAGATACGATATCCATTAAATTATCTTCAGTTTTCAGACTTCACTGCTCCAAAGTCTGGAGCATGCACCTTCCTGAGTTGAAATTGTCTCACTCTCTACCTGACTCCTTTATTCTCTGCTTCACTCATCGTTTGTTTTTATTTTGACTTACTGCTTCTGTGACCCCAAAGGAGAGTTAATTGTTGAAACATCTCTGTATCATTCCTGGAGTTATTTGGGGGAAATTTTGAAAAAAAAAAAACTAATGTAGCATTTTGAGGGCGTCTTGTTTGCTTGTTGTTCTAGCCTAGCTCTAAATTTTGACTATTTTAAGTTGTTTGCTTTCTAAGAGTTAAATGAAGTTTTTGTACAGAGAATCTCTTCTTTTTATTTTTTCTTTTTAACTCTTTGATCTTTAAAGGGTAGGGAGTATTCAAATAAAAATCTTGAGAACATTTGGAATGCAAGTACATCTGTAACAGGCAGACATCAATGATGACCTATTTTCTAGATATCAAATTGGGAAAGCTAAAGTATTACATTGGAAATATACCTAGACCCAGGCCTGGGTTCTTTGCACACTGAAGTGGTTATTTTAAGCATATGAGGCTTAAAATGCTTCATTGTGCATTTTGAGAGCTTCACTTGGGATTTGGGAATTTCTCTGTTTATGCCTCAAGAGGCATTTCATGTTAGCATGCGGTTGTCCTCATCTTGTAATATCTTTTCAGGGTGTTACCCTAACGGACCTTCAAGAAGCTGAAAAGACTTTTAGCCGTTCAAGGGCAGAGCGCCAAGTTCAAGAGCAGCCTAGTGAGAAGCCTTCCAATACTGCAGAGCTGGAAGGGAGCACTGAGAAGCAGGACCCCTCAACAGAATTGACAAAGGAAGCTGGAGAGAACCAGCAACCTTGGGGCAGGAGTGTGGATGAAGAGGTAAGCTCATTTGGGTGCCATGTAATGTGCTAAAAGCTGTGTAGTTTGTTGAATCTGTTCCTCACTGATAATTCAAGTACTGGTCTCCCTGGCAGTGCACCACTCATTTAAAAAGCTGTTTAAGGCCGGCTAGATAGCTCAGCGGACAAAAGCACCTGCTTAGGCAGAGCGCTGCAGCCAGGGTTCAATCCTCAACATGCCATACCAGCCCTGCCCCTAGGGCATGCTGAGTCTGTGGTTAACACTGGGCTGGTGTCACATGCCTGTAATCCCAGTGCTTGGAAGGCTGAAAACAGGAGGATCACTTATGAGGCTGATCTACATAGTGAGACCCTGTTCTAAATACAAAAAAGAAGAAGGAGGAGGAGGAGGAGGAGGAGCAGGGGGAGAGGGGGAGGAGGAGGAGAAGGAGGAGAAGAAGAAAGGAAGGAAGGAAGGAAGGAAGGAAGGAAGGAAGGAAGGAAGGAAGGAAGGAAGAGAAAAGAAAAGAGAAAAGAAAAGAAAAGAAAAGAAAGCTGTTTATAGCCAGGAGTTACACCTGTAATTCCAGCACTCTGGGTGGGTAATGCAGGAGGATCACAAATGTGCACCAGCCTGGGCAACCTAGTTAGACCCTGCCTCAAAATAAAAAATAAAGGGGTGGGCCAGAGAGATAGTTCAGCAGCATAAGCACCTGCCTGGCAAGCACAAGGTCTAAAGTTCAATTCCTGGTATTAAAAAAAAAGGAAGAAGGTGAAGCTCAGTGTGAGGTACCTGGGTTTAATTCCTAGTACCACAAAAAATAAAACATTGTTAATGGCTGTTTTTAGTTGGCTAACCTATATGACTAAAAGAACTCAGAGCTAGTGCTAGTCTTTAATCTTTGTTTCCCTCTGAGAATTATACATTTGAATAAAAGTCTTTTCTAAAAAGAGATGTAAATAGAAAGACAAGTTTTATTGAGTATTTATGCCAGGTACTGTCTTAAGCATTTCATGTGTATCAATTCATTTCAATCTTAAACAGCTCTCTGAGGTAGACATTACTATTTTAACTTTGTATGTAGGAGCTGAGTCATAGAGGTTGAATCACTTGCCTAATGTTTTACACATCTAAGGAGTTAGGTAAGCATGGGTTTTAACACTTAACCGTCTTAGTCACTTTCCTCATAGCTGAGACATACTACCTGACACCCACAATTTAAAGGAGGAGAAATTTATTTTGGCTCACAGTTTTTGAGGTTTCAGTTCATGATCGGCAGGTGGAAGGGCCTGTGTGGAGGAAAGCTGCTCATGTCATGGCAGTCTGGAAGCAGGATGAGCAAACAGAAGAACCAGGAGGGAGATATACCCTTCTAAGTCACACCCCCAGTGACTCATCTCCCAACAGCAGGTCAGCTATGAACTCACCACTAGATTAATCCACCAGTGAGTATAGTGATCCATTCACCTTCCAAACACATGAGGCTTTTCCAGGACACCCATATCTAAACTATAACAATCTGATTTGACAGTTGCTTTCTTAACCACTGATGCTATCCAAACTGCTGCAGACTTAAAACCTTACCAAATATTCCTGGTGGTCATAATTGGAATGGACATCTTGACTTGTGTTTCTATTCAGTAGTGGAGTTCTTAGTCACAGGTACAAGGGTATAATTAGGGCAAACATAAATATTCCCCTGGTTTACCTAAGATGGTTCAAATAGCAACTGTTGTCTCTGTGTGATTATCATTACTACTCTTTCTTTATACTAACAAAAGTGTTCCATGATAGATAGACTGATAAATTTTCTGGTCACTGTAGATATAAGAGAAAGGATTCTGTTTCTTGCTATAACTCTAAATGCAAGTTTCCATATCCTGAGGTTCTATTGTGTACAGTGGTCGCTCACTTATCATGGAGGTTATGTTCCAGACATCCCCTTGATAAGTGAAAATCAGCAGAGTAGCGATGTATTTGTTTTACTATTCATATATATTTTAAAGTTTTATAAATCTTTCCCACGTGCTTCTAAATCTTTCCCACACTTTTAAAATATTTCTAATGGGCTGGGGAGATGGCTCAGTGGAATAAGCGCTTCCCTGGCAAGCGCAAGGGCCTGAGTTCAATCCCCGGTTCTGCAAAAAAGATTAAAAAATAAATAAATAAATAAAATATTTCTAATGTTCTTAAACATTTTCTACTCGTAAACCTATGTAATTATAACAACATATATGTACTATGTAGTACTGCAAAATCCTGCAATATAGCAAGAAATCCATGGTAAATAATTTAGATTAACGTTTTTTGAAAATTTGTGAACGAGTCTGCAAAAGTTGAACCCCAGAATAGTGAGGGACTACTGTATTTTGTCCTATAAGCTACCAATTTATTGAATACTTATTACTGCACCTAACACACATTATCTGATTATCAAATCTGTACCATTTTGTCTAAAGACAATTTTATAACCCTGTTTTACAGATGAGGAAGGTGAAAGGTTATATTATTGCTTCTATCTTTATATTTAAAATTTAAAAATTTGTAATTTCATGGTAGCATGTGTAAGGCCCTGGGTCCCATCCCCAGCACCTCAAAAACAAACAAACAAAAAACTATATTGTGAACTTAATATGTATTAAGAATTCATCTCTTGGTAGTCTATAAAAAAACTAAGCTTATTGTCAGTTTTGTCAGCACTTGTCAAGGATGTGCAAGGCCTTGGCTTCATTCCCAGCAGCATATAAAAGATGATAAATGAATGAGTGAATGAATGTTTCAGTAACTCTTGTCATGGCAGGTTGGAGAGTATTCAGAAACAGGTAGAATGCTCATATTTGTTCTTTGTTCTTAGATAATTACATTCTTCATATTCCTGAGCTTTTTATTTTCTTACATAAACTTTGCCTCTCATTGTACCATCTTAAAAGAGCCATCATTCTTGCTTTTTCCATTCCAAGATCAGAATAATTTTTATTAACATATCTAGTCCTAACTAGTGCCCTCTGGTCATTTTAGGAGTTATTTGCCTGGACTTCTATCAACGTGAAGGTGTGGTCAGAGTAGGAGTCCAGAAGCTGTTTTATGCTAGCTAATTAACTAATTTTAGTTCAGTTCAGTAGCTGTGGATCAAGTGTCAACTATTAATAAACCTCTTAATTTGTAAAAAAAACCTCTTAATTTTGAAAGGCCCATTTTGAATAAATATGTGATTTTCTTGTGGGTTATTTTCAGCCTATCTATCGTCGCCTGAGGTGTCCAAATCGGCCAGAAAAACCAATAACCACCGTGTCTCCTTCTGTATCAAGACCCTCACTGTATACCAGTTCCCATCTGCTGCGGACAAATAGATCTTCAGTCCCTGATACTGAGAGTTCTGAGACCGCCACAAACACTATAACTGGAAAGGAAATGGACAAGAATGGTGTGTAGCATTTAAAGGATGCACACTGCTCCCCAATGCACATGCCTCAGATCATTAAGGTCTATATTTTGTTTTCTCTTTGGTCAGAGAGTGAAGAAGTGGATTTGGACAATCAGTCCACTAATCAGCTATCCATCCGAGAAAGGAGGCGACCCAGGGAACGTCGAAGAGGCACTGGCATCAACTTTTGGACAAAGGATGTAAGTGAATCAGTTCATTGTTCTTTTCTGTTGAATTCAAAAGAAAACATCCTACATTGCACCATGAATCTTGCAGATTGGCAAAAATTGTTGTTACTGAGGAAAAAACAAAGACTCAATTAGTATGGGACTCCCTTGGAATGCTCCTGCCAGCCAGCCAGGACTCAGGACAGTGTTTAGCATGTTACAGGCATGCAGTAAATAATTAATGAAGACTTGAAAAGTCTTATATGATTTACACCAATCTTATAAACAGCTGTAACAAGTCCTGAGAAATGTACGGCCAAAGATATCTTAATACTATATATAAAAATAGATTCTGACTAAATATTTTAGGAAAGATATATCTATAAGTTAACACAAGGTTCATTTGATCCCAGTGTATCCCTTTAATGGAACAAAGGAACAGATAATATAAAACAAATTAACTTTGGCTTTTAAATAAAAAAGGTGCACCAAGGGGGCCAGGGAGATAGCTCAGTAGAATAAGGGCTTGCTTGGCAAGCACAAGGGCCTGAGTTCAACCCCCGGTTCCACAAAAAAAAAAAAAAAAAAAAAAAAAAAGGTGCACCAATACCTATTAACCAAAAATACATGCAGTACTTTAATGCACCCTCCTCTGTATCATGTTCTGTATGCTCTCACTCAGCCTTGTTGACATTTTAAAAACTAAGTGCCCAATAACTTGAACCAGAGGCTTCTAGTTATCAGTAACTCATTTGAAAAATAGATAAAATCTAGTCAGTGAGAGATGAAATGAAACAGTAACTGTCACATATTATAAGCTACCCTTTAGAAAAAAGTATTTCCTTATTACAGAGCCAAACAAGTGGATACCATTTTTACCCAGATGCTGGGGCTCAGACCTGGAGGGTTGCATACACCACCAAGCCCCCTGCCATCATGCTATATCCTCAGCCTGCTAACTGGTAATTTTTGACCGAAATATAGTTAATTCCCTTTTTTTGAAGGTACCTTTTTTCCCCTGGTTTATCTGACATTTTTTACTATAGGTGATGTTCTAAGTTGCCCTCCTGTGACAGCTGTTAGAAGTGTCAGTAACAGCAACACTTGGCTGTCAACTCTCATTTCTCATTTTTGATTTGTCAAGATGCTTAAATAATGGGAACTGACCTTGTGTTCTAAGATGATCCTTTTGTTTTTCTTCTGCTTTTCTAGGAGGATGATGGTGATTCTGAAGAGGTCAAAGAAACATGGGTAAGTGACAAGCAGTAAGGTATATTCCATAAGGGTTCAATCTTGCTCTTATGTATACAATTTTCATAGAGGAGCAGGCCCTATCCTGCTGGGGAGTTTGAAGACAGACATTTTTCTAAGAGGCATGGTGGTTGTTAGTTGATTATATAATGATGTTCGTGTGGTTTGTATTATGTAATGATGCCCGTGTTCTTGGACAAGCTTTCAACATCTACTTATGCCAGCTGCTATAACACCATTGTAGTGTCCATTTTTCTCTCTTGAATGTTACTGGATTGTACAAAGTACTTAGAAGTCTTTGGAAGAGGGCTGGTGAGATGGCTCAGTGGTCTAAGGCACCTACTTGGAACAAGCTTGGCAAAGCACAGGGACCACGGTTCGATCCCCCAGCACCACATGCCAGCCAGTCCGCCCCCTGGTGGACTGAGCTGGCCACACACACACACAAATAAATAAATTTAAAAAAAAAAAAAGAAGTCTTTGGAAGAAAAATAAAAAGTGGTATCATTTCCTTATGAATATGTATCAAAGGAACATACATGTGAAGAATGTAAAATATCAGTCTAAAAGTCATGTATATTTGACTAGGAAATAAGGTTCTTGTATAACTCCATCTCTGGAAACCTGGCATCAAACCTCTCTCTGAAGTTAAAGACCTGTGCCCAGAGTTCTTGAAGATAATAATTTAGATTCTTATGAACTACTCAGACACTATGGAATGGTGGCAGTTTTATCTCAGTATGATTTTGCAGAAAGGAAGGAATTTGATTTTGAATAAATTAATTGAACTACATATGCTTTTCTGTTTTAATTTATGTGTTATTGCCTTTTTGTACTTGATAGTTCTCTTAAACTAAAAATCAGTAACTAATTATTAGCAAAGGATTAATACATTGTCACTGACCAGCCTATACATTAGTTCCAAACAATCATTTGTGTTTTTCCTAAAATTTGTATTCATAATGACTAATGGTAACATGGGTGAAAATTTCATATCCTTGGTTAAAGTTAATGCCACTTCACAAAGATGAGTTGTATGATGTGGATATACTGCCTACAGGTTCCTTTGGGGGAAAAATGTTTGTGTGTGTCTGTTTGCATGCATGTAAACAAAAGCAACTTTTATATTCTTTATTTAAAGGGCTAGTAAAGGCTTTTGGGGGGACAAGAAAATTATGGGAAGTTTCTTTGGAGAACCATATTTAAACATAGAATTTGAATAATAGATTACAGAGCATTGAAATGGAACATAATCCCTAGAGGGTTATACAGGCCATTTAAATCCAAAGAGTTTCAACAAGGATGGTTTTGTTGTCATGAAAATTTTTTTTTAAAGTGAAAATCTTTGTCTTTATTTTTATAAACATTTGGCACTAGAGAATCCAGCCTAACTTAACAAATAAGGAAAATTAAGGTGATCTTGATGTGGTGCTTCTCAGAGAACTTCATTTTACTACTAGTGACTTAAAATTAATTTTAAAAAATTAAATAAAATTAAAAATTCTGGTTTTTGAGGAAAAGCAGAGACTTTTGAGAATGGCATGAAAGTCATTTGTCAGGTTGAAAAATCAGTCAGTCGCTCAAGGCATGTGTAAGTGTTTACCGTATGTCAAGCAGACGCCATTGTGAATCTAAAAGAAGAATGAACAGCCCATTACCTCTAGACCAGTAGCTTGAATGTGTGCAGGTCAGTGGGGCTTGGCACAAGCACACTCTGGGTTCCAGTCTCTAGTCCCACTCATGGTTCTGCAGAAGAAAAGCTAAGTCAACACAGGGTGAGAAATTCTTTTTGTTAGTCTTATATTGGCTTACTTCATTACTCCAATTTATTGCCATGAAACTCTTATCTGATTTTCTCCCCTGAGCTGTCTCTTATCTTAATGCTAGCAGGCATGAAGCTATTGTGTATATGGGCCCATAGAGCATTATACCTGGTAATGGCCCAATGCTGCAATTCTACTTCAAGAAAGTTAGCACACTCATAGGAATCTTACATTCACTTTTTCTTCCCTACTTTTATATCCAAATTTCAGGGAGTAGAGTTGATTGCAGCGACAAAAGATGAGCCAGTCAGAGGAGGGCCATGCTATTGTGATATCACTGTTAGCTAATCAGAATGAACTGAGCCAAGAGACCTGGGCAGTTCTCAATTTTGGTTCCATAAAACTTTATCTGCTACTGAAGTCATACCAGCTCCCTTTTCTCTCCTAGCCCACTCCTTAATAATGTTGTCCGTTAAAGTTCATTCTTCCTAAGACTCAGATACCTATTTTTTAAAAACTTGAGATATAACTTATCAATAGAATACATAGATTTTAGGGCCAGCCAGATAGCTCAGCAGCTTAAAGTGCCTGCTTAGGCAGACACAGGGATCAGGTTCAATCCCCAGCATGCAGTGCCTCCCACCCCCCGCACGCACTGAGACTGTGATTGAGACTAGGAATGGTGGCACACGCCTGTAATTCCAGTGCTTGGGAGGCTGAAAACAGGAGGATCATTATAAGTCTGATCTGTGTAGTGAGAACCTGCAGACCCTATACTAAATATGTTTTTTTTTTTTTTTTTTTTTTGCGGAACCGGGGATTGAACTCAGGCCCTCGTGCTTGCTGGGGAAGCGCTTAAATATGTTTTTTTAAAAAAAGAATGCATAGATTTTAAATGAACCACTTGGCTAGTTTTGACATTTGCATATACAAGTACAACCACCACCCAAATCAAGATTTAGAACTTTTCTATCACTGTAAAAAGTTGTGTCAAGCCCCTTCCAAATTCTCTGTCTTGAAAGAAAACCATTCTGATTTCTTTCACTATTGATTAACATTGCCAAAAAAAAAAAAAAAAAAAAAATGCCTGTTTGTTAGTATATATAGAATCAACCTGTCATAATTAAGGGTAGAAAGGAAATTTTAATAGTATTATCTTTGTCTTATGCTTCTAGTGAGGATTAGAACTAAAATGATTTCAAGTATGTGTGGTTTTTTCCCCCATACTTTTAAAGATTTCAAAGGAGGATTCTTTAATTTCTCACCATGTCAGTAATAACAGCATAGTTAAGAAGCCTTTTCTATTGTTGAACCTAGATCTCTGTTGATATCATGAAATCATTCCCTTTTGTATATACCTAGAAAAATGTAAACAAAATTTATAAGATTTATGGCTAGGAATGGCCCTGATGGCTTCTCCCTATAGAACAGATGATGAAGAGGCCAGTCAGGTATTGCTGTGCTAGTGACACTGAAGAGCAAGGAGCATGACGAGAAGACTGGGTCCTGGCTTACACCCAGCATAGTATGTAGTTTTTGTCAAAACTCATCCCATTCATAAATCATCCAGTAAGACCAACAAAAAAGGTACAATTTGATGTCTTACACTTCCTTGACAGGCATATTCAAAACAATTCTGTTTCACTATTCATATCAGGTATGTGACAGTCTCTGGAAATCTTAAGAAATCCTTTGTTTTGCTAAGTCAGAAAGAAACTGAATTTGAATCTCAATTTGAGAAAGAGGTTATTTCAATCATGCCTCAATAATTCAGTCATCCTTTCATTGTATTCAGTGTGAGTGTGCTTGATGTTTTCTTTACGATAGAGTAGTTCTCCTTATTCCTGAGGGATACTTTGCCAAGTGTCCAAAAGATGCCTAAAACTGCAGACAGTACCAAACCTTAAATATACTGTGTTGGACTGGGAGATAGCTCAGTGGCATAAGTGCCTGCTTGGCATTTGTAAGGTCCTGAGTTGAATCCCCAGTAAAACAAAAACTTAACTGTTGTTAATCAATAGTGAAAGAAATCAGAATTTGGAAAGGGGCTTGATACAACTTTTTACAGTGATAGAAAAGTTCTAAATCTTGATTTGGGTGGTGGTTGTACTTGTATTTGCAAATGTCAAAACTAGCCAAGTGGTTCATTTAAAACCTATGCATTCTTTTTTTAAAAAACATATTTAAGCACTTCCTGTGTTTTTTCCTATCTGTGCCTACCTACAATAAAGTTTAACTTATAAGTTATCGTATTGATAGTAATAAAGTACAGTTATGATAATTATTATGAAAAGAGCAGCATCTCAACTCTTGTGCTTCAGGGTTATTAAGTAGAATAATGACTACTTGAACACAAATATTTGGATATTGATATCTTAACAATTGAGCTGATAAACAAGGTTATTAAATGATGAACAGACAGAATGTACAGTGTGGATTGTACAGGCAGAGAGATGATTCACACTGCAGACATATAGAGCAGGATGGCAGAAAATTTCATTCTCATACTCAACATCACACAATTTAAAATTGAGTTATTCTGAAATTTTATCTAATATTTTCAGATTGCAGCTGACTACAGTATAGGTAACTAAAACCGTGTAAAGTAAAATTGCAGACAAGTTGGGGACCTACCTAGTATAGTACAAATGGCATAGAATGTTTGCTATGGAAGGAACACATTCACACCATGGTAGATGATAAAACCATTTCTGTCTCCTCTTCCTCATATTTTTGGCCTACCTTTCCTTTGCTTTATATTGAGTTTTATTTATTACATTCTCCCTTGCCCTCTCCATTTATTTTTCTGGAGCAACCTTATTTCCCAAACTAATTCTATTGTATAATAAATTTATCACTAGAGGGCACAAGTGGTCAACAGAAAAGACATTGATATGGAACTGGATAGTGCCTTAAACAAGCTGAGCTAAGATAAAATACTTTTGTTTTAAGGGAATTATTCATGAACCCTGTACAGTGTAGCTAAAGAGGTATTTGCCTTCCAACTGGTTTTTGGGTTTTATTTGTTTTTAAGACATGGTATTGCTACATAGTTCTGGCTGGACTTGAACTCACTATGTAGCATAGGCTGGCCTCGAACTCTTGGTGATCTTCATGCCTTAGCCTCTCAAGTGCTGAGATTACAGATGTGCTGCACCAAGCCTAGCTGCATCCCAACTTCTGATATCATAGACTTAGAAGGGAATACAGAAATAACTTTTTTTTTTGTCTAATTTT